AGCCTTGGCAGGATAAATCTCCCCAGACCTATCCAACGGCTGTGAAGATTCTAAACTAACACGAGTCTCATATGTTTCCAGTTTAAGGGTATTACAGAGAAACACACCACAATAACATGAATCAAATATGTACTTTATTCATTTACAATAAATGTCATAATGTACATCATTCTGATTAGAGCTAAGGGCATACACTGTCTAACAATAGGGTCCCAAACATCAGAATAAACAATATGAAAAGGAAATTCAAATATTTTATTTCTTAAAGGAAAGGAATTTCTACAGTGTTTGTTCAATTGGCATGTATGACACTGCAATTTACTAACTAACAAAGATTTAAACAAATCAAGAAACATAAGTTTTTAAAGACTCAAATGAAAGATGACCAAGATGATTATGCCACAAGTAGGCATGACTCTCACTAGAAGAACTTAAAGACTCTGTAGCCACAAGACCATCTTTATTCTCCAACACGTAGAGGCCATCCACCATGCTTCCTCTACCAATCGTCTTCCCCGATGTCAAATCCTGAAATACATACGAAGAAGGAAAGAAGGTCACCGAACAATTCAAAGAATGAGTAATACTGCTAATGGAAAGTAAATTGATAGGTAATTTAGGAAATGACACATGGAAGGCAACGACAATGTTACTTGATGTAGATGCAAATGAGGTAGGAGTAGGGCCAGAATCCATCTRGCGAAGTGTCCTACCATATAATTCCAAGTGGTCACGAAAGGAGTTGATGATCTCTTCCTTGGGGTCAAAACCAGAGTGTCACTCTTGGGGTACCATGGGACTAGTATCTTGAGGTGCCACATTTGCTGAGTTATATTTCTTATGACTTTGCTGGGTTGGCTTCTTACTCGGATCAGACTTCTTACTCAATTCCTGAGCCCATTTTGGCTTGCCATGAAGATCCCAACATGTGTCTCTAGTGTTCCTGGACTTTTGATACTGAGTGCACCAAAGTTTGTCTTTGTCATCCACTCTCTTCTATGAATCTCCTTTTTTAAAAGAACCTCCAACATTTGAACTTGTACCCTCTCAGACAACTAGTGCAATATGTTTCCCTTCTGTACAATTCATCACATTTCTTTTTGCTCTCTTCAGACTGAAATAGGGCATAAACTTCTTGGACTGAAGGTAGGTTCTTACTTCCTAAGATTTGTACCCTYATGGATTCATWTGTAGGATTCARCYCYAAAAGAAAGGCAAATACCCGTTGCTGGGAAACAAGTGATTTGTAGGCCTTTGCATCCTCATCGCACTTCCAATTCACATTTTGATAATGATCCAATTCCTTCCAAATTGATGTCAAGTCTGAATAGTACACCGAGAGACTCCTCTCCCCTTGCTTGCAAGTGGAGGGTTCTACTTGTAATTGATATATATTTGCATAGTGTCTCTATTTTGAATAGGTAGATTTTGCTTGTTCCCATATTTCACAAGCTGTTTTAGCCCACATAAAGGTCTTCCTTACTTATGGCATCATAGAAACCAAGAGCCATGACATCACCTTACTATTTTCTTGGTTCCATCTGTCATGTTCAGCACTACCAATCTTTGGTTCCTTGATTTTACCATTAATATACCCAATTTTCCTCTAGTAGTTATATAAAGTTTAATTCTCCTAGACCATTCAAGATAGTCCAGTCCATCAAAGGGGATTACAGCCATGGAGAAACTCATATCCATCCCCCCACTCATTCCATTTTGACCTCCTGAAATTCCTGAAATTGTAGAATTCTCAGAGGACATGATTGAAACACCTTTTAGACCTTACACACACCTTACAATCCTTCTTATCACCAAACAAACAGTCCTAGAAACACCAAGGATGAAGCCCACATGCACACACTGCAATCTAGACACAATCTGACCACAAATCAGCCTAGATTGTCCAAAAAAGGCAAGATTTTAGGGTGATCTCAGAGCTGATCTGACCTAGCAGTCACACTCCACCAACTTCCAGACACCCCAAACACATTGACTGCTAGGAGGGGTCATAAACCAGTATGGTTACACCACAAGGGTTAAAAGATCAGGTCATCCATGACCTACAGATCTGAATTCTCAGACATGAGATCACACGATCCATAAAAAAAAGCGGTTCGAACCTCACAACTTCTTAGAAAACATTCAGCAGTCTGGAGTCATATAGTTTCTTCTTGGTACACGACCAAGGGAAAGGAAAAAAACACTAAAAAAATTTGTACCAGTCATAGGTCTGCACTTTTTTATCTCAATTGAAGAAGATAGTAGGTTGGAGCTTGTTCGATCTGCTCACAGGCCTAACAGAACCGCTCCGATACCATATTAACAGTCGAACAAAGGAGAAGAGATGTAGGAGAAGAGAAGAGGAAGAGAGGAGAGAAGAGAGAAGAGAGGAGAGAAGAGAAGAGAGAGATTTGGAGTCTGCTACAGTGCTAGCGGCGCCAGCTTATATTAATATATATAGGGTGACCATAATTAGAAGGAAAAGAACCTTTATGCCCCTACTTAAGTTACAACATAAAAAACAAAAGAAAAAACTGCTTTAATTTGTCCAAACGGACCCTAACTCAGCGGAATACAAACATAATAAATAAAGTTAACATTCCAACAATTTAAGAATAGAGAGAAAAGAAAATTGGCTAAAAGAACTATATTTTGAGAGACATTATGTAAATACCTTGAGCTTGCCTTGAAACAATGGTATGTGCGACTATATCTGCAGACTGCAATGCAAGTTTGATCTATACGACTCTTTTCGAAGAGTTCCTTTCGATTTCAAAAAGGTTAAAGGGGAAAAATGCTTTAGGGTTTTTGCCTTATTAGGTTGGTCTTAGTCACTTAGAGTTTTAGATAATTACAACCATACCCTTAATGGTGCGGTGGTCCCTTACATATTATAAGAGAAGCATTATGACCCGACGGGTCAGATTGTTATAAACCTGACACCGACCCGAACCTGACTCGGGTTAGAGTTCCAGAACCCTAACCTGACCAACCCTATTCAGTTGTCCCAAACCCAATCCATTAGGGTCGGGTTTACCATTTAACCCGGTCCACTGACACCCCTAGTAATGACACCCCTAGTAATATTTCCAGCATACCAAATTTAAAGAAAAGATTCAAAGTGATGCGTTTCCAGTTTCTAGTAGAAATGTTTGGGGTTTATCAATACAATTTTTTTATAAAATAGGCCACTGTTTGCATAAAAAATTCCATTGTTAGTATTAAAATGCAAGTACCATTGCCATTTCTTCATGAAACGCCAAGTTTAACGTTTTTATTATAAATTCCAAGACCAATCAAATGCATACATGTTTTTAGTGGAATTGGTTATCTAATGTGATGTAACAAGACAACCGCAATCGTTTCTTGTAGAAACAGCAATGATACCTAACACAAGCCTAGTTAGCTAGATAAAACTTAGAAGATTTAACTCAGGATACTCTTCTTTCAATTTCTCTTGTTTTTTTTCCTCAATGCCCCCTTAATGTTTGGATTCTAACAATATGATAGCTTATGTTTCTAACCTTATGGCCACAAATAATCTTCTGACACAATTATCAGTAGCTGGTCTACTCCCCATTTCTTTCTTGAGAAGGGATTTTGTTAAACGACAGCCACTTTACCGAATTAAGTACTCCTGGCTCCTGTACCTTATAAACTTGGTTCCTAGTTCCTACTAGGAGCCTTGGGACTCCTTAAAATAGGTGGTTTACTGCACTGAGGGAAGCTGTTGCTTTGACTTAACAGAGCTGAGGAGGTTATTACCTCCTGCAATGTTATTGAAAGTGAAATTATAGAATGAAGCAAGAAGCAGGAGAAATTGTAGACATATGAGGGAATCGAGGCTTTTGGATTATGAGAACACATTCTCACCTTTTCGGTATTTCATATTTTGAATTCTTCATGATTTAAGAAGAAAATTGCTTATTGCAAGCAGATGGAAAGAAAACCTCCTTTTAGGTTGACCATAGTAATTTACTTGGGCATGGTATTGATGGATGTTACGAATACATATATATACATGGTGTTTTATTCAGAGATATACTTGAGTCTAAATATAACATAACAGTACTGACAAATATCCATGGTTACTTCACCCCTTTGAGGAAGTTTTTGATGAAATTCCAAGAACTTTCCTCTTCAATATTGCTTCACCCCTTTACTTTATTTTGTTTAGTTGTTATTTTTGTTAAGATCTTTCCTCTTCAAATGAATTAATATCAAATCATAAGATTGCAAATGACATCAGGTTGTGCTTGGTGCAGGTTGGAGCCAATATTATCAGAAATTCAGAATGAACTCAAAATAGAAAGGTTTTTCTGACACAAAAGTGAAAATTATAAGAAAAACAAAGAAATATCAAAATACACAGAAGTTATGGAACTAGGTCCTATCTCTAATACCTGTCATGGTTTACATCCCTAGAAACAGTTTACTGCAGCGACATTGGGGAGATGCTTCTTTGCACATTCTGAACACGTTCTCACTAGCCTTGAGTTAAATATTAAATAAACTGACAAATAAAAAAAATCACAAATAATGCAATATTTCAGCTCAAAGCTCTTCTAATGGTCATTAATTGACGATATGTCTTACTTCTGTAGTGTCCTTTACATCTCTGCGTAGTGTATGTTGTGGTACATGGAATTTGTTACACAATGTTAAGCATTCAACGTGACAGTTAAGAGATGTTATGTCGTATCCAAAAGATGGTTCAGCTTTTGAGATTGTTTTATTATTTTTGGAAATGTAGAAAATGTTGAGTGCAATAATCTGGGATTGCTTCAGCTTCTTTTGGTTGTTCCTACCATGTCCATCAAGTTAGCTGTAGACATTGATAGCGTTGGGCTTGTCATGTCACTTCTTGGCTTAGACAGATATATCCTGTTGGACCTTATTCATGCACGGACTTCACCTCCAATTTTCTCCATCTCAAAGTTGATGTTTGATGATAGATCCTGGTAAATCCTACATAAAGATGCCCAAATATTTGGTTAAAACACTAATAATTTCAGTTAGATGACTGGACATGTACAACTACAGGTTATGGGGTATTCCTGATCCAGTTAAGCTAGACAATAAGGTATCATTGGTGGAGAAACATCGGGAGAAAAACCTATTGAACTAAGTGTGTTAATTGTGGGAAGAAGGAAAGTTGCAAAAAGTAGTGATGACGCATGTTAAATTGCATGCATTAAACATGTAGAAATTATCTTTCGTGTCACTACTACTTCAGGAGGCTATTGTTCAGAATGGAGACATACTCAAGTTTCTCAAACACATGATGTAATCATGTACATCTCTGAATCCTTCCAAGAACTAGGAATGTGTTGTCTTGTTAAATTTGTCCATCAATGTTCATGTTCAATTAACTGGAAAATTCATTCTTTGAGCTCTTGATTTCCATGTCAAATGCTACTTTAATTTCAGACCATTAGACAAAACAATCTCTTCCCTAGAAATGCAACTGGCTGCAGCTAGAGCTGCCAAATTAAAGCAGGTAACCAGCAAGGATCTTAAATGGATGCAAAACTTGGAAATGAGCAAGCAAAGCAACGGATGTTGTTCTATTATGGGAATCTTTACTGCATTCAGCAACAGAAAGCGCCGGGATTCAATCAGAGAAACTTGATTGCCTCAAGGTTCAGTCCTATAATCATCTCTTCAATCAAGCATCTGTTACACTGAAACTTAATGTGGAGATATATTATCTATTCTCTGATTTTTCTTTTCTGTTTCTTGCCAGGAGAGGAGTTAAAGAAACTGGAGAAAGAAAAGGGTATTGTGATTCTGTGATTTCTAATTACATGTTTTGGCATTCCTTTTACAGGATATGTTGGCTGTACTTTTTGGAATTCTAGTGCAAACCCCAGGTGGTGTTCTTGATCGTGCTATTGATGCTGAAGATGAGCAACATAAGGATTTTCTGAGACTAGTTTGTTAACTGTCAACTACTGAGGACTGAAAGGGAAAGAGATAAAGGAAAGCCTTATTCGATTAGGCTGGATTGAATTAGTATAAATAGACAAATTACAGGATAAGATTGTTACAGAATTTAAAATTTAAATAATAGTTACAACAAGATAGGAGTCCTCCATTGAGTAATCCTCATCCTTCTCACGTAGAGAATTTCAAGGTGGTACGTCATTTGGATGTACTCCTAACATCCCCCCTCAAGCGAAATGGTCGTCTGCAGACTGTGAGCTTGGCAGTAGTTCACAAAAGCGAGTGGTAGGCAAGGGCTTAGTGAGTATATCTGCTACCTGCTTGGAACTCGGGATGAAACGAACCACAAGGGAGTTGTTGGCCACACATTCGCGAAGGAAATGTACATCGAGTTCAATATGCTTGGCCTTGGAGTGCAGCACTGGGTTGAGTGATAAGTATGTGGCGCTAAGGTTGTCACACCACAAAGAAGGAGGGAGGGGAGAAGAGAAACCAAGTTCCTGAAGTAACATCTGTATCCAAGCTAAATCAGAGGCCACAGATGCCAAGCTATGGTATTCAGATTCTGTACTGGAGCGAGACACTGTGGATTGCTTTAGGGAACTCCATTATATGAGGTTGAGACCAAGAAATATGCAGAAGTCGTCTTGTGAGCAGCGATCTACTGGGCAGCTGGCCCAATATACATCGGAGAAGGCTTCCAACTGTAGTGATTTAGAAGGGATGAAGAGGATGGCATGATCTATCGTACCTTTAAGGTAACAAAGAATACGTTTCACATTGTAATGCCCCTACTGGGTAATGAAGGCTTCCAACTGTGGGTGCCTTCATGAATTGACATACTCTGTGAACTACAAAGGAAATCTCTGGGTGTGTAAGGGTGACATATTGTAATGCCTCTACGATGCTACAATAAAAGGTCGGATCAGGGAGAGGATCCCCTGAGGAAGCATTTAATCGGGTAGAGGCTACCATCAGAGAAGTAATTGGCTTTGCTTCATGCATCTGGGACCGCACCAATAGATCTTGGACATACTTGTGCTGAGTAAGGTGCATTTCTGCTGTAGTGCGATGTAGTTCAAATAAACTTGCTGTAAGCATCAACAAAAAGTAAATAATAACGGTAGCCATTACTAGACGGACACGAAGCAGGTCCCCAAATATCAAAATAAACAAGTTCTAAAAGTCCATGAACAGTAGTAGAACTGGGTAAAAAGGGTAAGCTATGGCTCTTTCCCATGGGCAGGAGCTACAAAAGCGAGAAACAGTGCCGGAGACAGGAAGCTGGAAATGTGAAAGAATGTAAGAGGTGATCTTATGACTCGGGTGGCCAAGCCGCTGATGCCAAATGAACTTTGAGGTATGCTCACCAAGGAGAGCTATTCTACCTACGTTATTTGAAGTCGAGACACGTTGCAATTGATAAAGCCCATCTTTAATCGGTCCCTGAAATAGTGTTCTCCCCGTCACATTGTCCTTCACAGAGAAACCAGAGGCAGTGAAAATAAATGGCATTGTTATCTCTGCAAAATTGGCTAACTGAAAGAAGATTCTTTGTGATATGTGGTACATGTAAGATATTCTTCAAAATAAAGGAACGTAATAATGAAGAACCAACATGAGATATATTCAGACCTGCACCATTACCCACAGTAATTTGATCCGCACCATGATAGTCACTGTGTATAGTGAGATTATTTAAATCAAAAATGAGATGGTTGGTAGCCCCTGAATCCGGGTACCAGCTGCTGTCCGATTGAGAGTGAGAAGAGCATGCAGTAAAAGCCTTGCCTTTGACACCCATAAGTTCCAAGTATCGCCGGCAGGTGGCTGCGGAATGTCCACGGTAGCCACAAAGTTGACAAACAACAGCAATATCATCACCATTGGGTCGTTTGTTGTTGTTGTATTGAGGCGCTTCACGCTTATTGTTATGAAAGTGATTATTTGGACCATTATTGGCTTGCTAGCCGAAGCACCATCAAGAGATGTATGGCATCAAGTCAACCTCTTCTCATAGGTGAGAAGAAGACTTTGCACATCTGGCAAAGACAATTCGTCCAAACGAGTTGTTACAAATATCACAACAGTATCATACTCAGAAGGCAGCCCACCAAGTAAGTAGTGAATAATGTCAGAGTCTAGAATATGGTAATTCGATGCAGCAAGGGCATCTGCTAAGCTCTTCACTTTTTGATGTAATCAGCAATGGAAAGCTCACCTTTCTTAAGATATGCAAGTTCCAACTTTAAATCATGTATTCTAAACTTACTTACAGTGGAGAATAAGCGCTTCAAAGGAGTCCAAGTGTCATGAGACGCCGTGCATCCTACCACCTGTGCCAAAACTGGCTCGGTCAAGGTAGATAACAACCAACTAAGGATGAGTTGGTCTTATTCCTGCCATGCGGAATAATCTAGATTAATGGTGCCATCATCAAAGGTCTCTGGTGGACACGGAAAAGATCCGTCAACGTATCCAAGGGAGAACATGGACTGACCATAAAAGATGGTTGTTGCAGTCAAGACGAACAGATATAATATTGGTGAAGTTTGGAATCAAGATAACAGAGATTTGAGAGGAGAGAGATGAGGACTCTCCCTATGTTTGAGTAGATCTGTTGAGATTAGACGCCATGGAGAGAGAACTGAAAAAAAAAAAAAAAAAAAAGAATGAGAAGAGAAAGGAGAGGTACTGACGCTGGTCAGATGGATAGCTCTGATACCATGAAAGGGAAAGAGAAAAAGGAAAGCCTTATTCGATTAGGCTAGATTGAATTAGTATAAATAGACAAATTACAGGATAAGATTGTTACAGAATTTAAAACTTAAATAATAGTTACAACAAGATAGGAGTCCTGCATTTGAGTAATCCTCATCCTTCTCACGTAGAGAATTTCAAAGTGGTACGTCATTTGGATGTACTCCTAACAAGGACCATTAAGTTGGCAAATTTACTC